TCCATCTTGTTGGGGGTCTTCCTCTTTTTCTCTGACCCTCCACCTTACCAAACATGATATCCTTCTTCAGCGACTGGTCCCTCCTGACAATATGTCCGGAGTATGAGAGACCAAGTTTCGCCATCTTTGCCTCTAAGGAGCACTCTGGCTGCACTTCTTCCAACACGGATCTATTGGTTCTTTAGGCATCCCTTGGCACTTTCAATATTCTCCTCCAGCACCATAATCAAAGGCATCAATTCTTCTACAGTCATAGTTGTTATTGTTAGGTATTGCCAAATTGGTTCCGACTCATAGTGACCCTGTACACAGCAGAATGAAACACTGCCCAGTCCTGCGTCATCCTCATAGTTGTAGTTACACTCAAGCCCATTGCTGCTGCTATACTAATCCATCTCATTGGGATCTTCCTCTTTTTCTCTGACCCTCCACTTTACCAAGAATGATGGCCTTTTCCAGGGACTGGTCCCTCCTGATAACATGTCTGAAATATGAGATCCAGAAGATTAGCACATTGAATCTTATTTTCAATTGTAAATACCCTGACAAGAGATGATCAAATTAGGTTCCTGTACTAAAGCCCTGAATGAAACAGGAACAGTTTTATTTCAGCTTTTGGGAGTCTAGGGGAAACAGAAAGCTGTATTTGGTGTTTGGATAGACCAGAAAGAAAAGAAAACGAGGTTTACAGCTTTAAACAGTTCTTCAGCAGAAAAAGACAGTATAAGAATCCTAGAGACTGCAAGAGATGTATCAAGAACAGAAAAAGAGGTAGACAGTTGGCAGGTAGTTCTATAAGAAAACTTCTCCTATTCTTATTTTTCTGAGATCCTTATAATAGATAGAAAAAATTTTTTAAAAATTAATACATGTCTTTGTCTTTTATCTCCTAGCCCAGTTGTAGAGACTAATGTTGCCTCGGTGAAATGACCTAAGAAAAACATAAACCAATGTATCTGCAATTACAAAATAAGTCATAAAAATTGGCTTGTAAATAATTAAATATTAAATAGCAGTTGTGTGTCATCAAGTCATTTCCTACTGGTAGCAACCCTCTATAGGAGTTCTGAGGAGCAGCGGGTGGGTTTGAACTGTCGACCTTGCAGTTAACAGTCCAGGACTTACCCTACAACACCATAACAGGACTCCATAGTAACAATTAGTATTTTGAATATAGGTAGTCCCTGAATTAGCAGCTGGGTTTTGTTCTGACTACTCTCGTAAGTCAATTCTGATGTAAGTCGAATGCCTCTTTGTTGTTGTTGTTGTTGTTACTTTTTATTATTATTGCCTTTTATTATTATCTTCATAAATCCAATCTTTGAGACTTGGCATGAGAATGATTAAATAGCAAATTACACACTGTAACATTGTATGTAGTTGTTGTTGTTGTAATGATAATGTACCCCCCCCAAAAAAAAAAAAAAACACGTGACTGTCCTAGGAATATGTAACTCGAATATGTCATAAGTCGGGGACTGTCTGTATTTACTCTTTGCCAATCAATATTCTAAGTCTCTTAAGGAGCCCTGGTTTTGTTGTTGTTATGTGCCGTGGACTCGGTTCCGACTCATAGCAACCCTGCACAGGGTTTCCGAGGCTGTAAATCTTTATGGGAGCAGAAAGCCTCATCTTTCTCCCACAGAACAGCTGGTAGTTTCGAACTGCTGACCCTGAGGTTAGTAGCCCAATTTGTAACCATTACGCTACCAGAGCTCCTTAGAAGCTCCTTAAAGGAGCCCTGGTAGCATAGTGAAATCTACCGGTTGCTCCGTGGGAGAAAGATGAGGAGCAGTGACATTACTGCACTTTTCCAAGTCACATAGCTAGTAAGTAGTGAACCAAACTGCCAACATTGTTTTCTACATGGTTGTTGTTGTCGTTAAGTGCCATCAAGTTGGTTTGGATGGCAACTGTCTAGGGTTTCCGAGGAGCAGCTGTTGAGTTAAGCCAACCTTGCAGTTCAAACCACCTTTGCAGTTAACCCACATTAATAGCGCATTAACCCACAGCACCACACCAGGACTCCTAAATGGTTGTTGTTGTTAAGTGCCGTCAAGGCTGTTTTGACCCACTATGACCCTGTATAGGGTTTCCAAGAGCAACTGGTGAGCTTGGACTGCCGACCTTGTAGTTCAAACCGACTTAGCAGTCCAGAGTGCTAACCCACAGCACCACACCAGGATCACATTATTGTCTTCTCAAAAAATTTCAGGCTTCTCTGATCCCAATTCTAATCCCCCACACCCACTCCACTGCCTCCATTACTAATAGATCTAAGTTCAAATTTCCTAGGCTAGAATTGGGGAATTTCTAGTTTGGTCACAGACAACCTTTCTTGCCTGTGTTAATGTCTTCCATTTGTTCCTCAAGGTCCAGCACCCTTCTCTACTCTTCCCCCTTGTCCTGGGAAAATGACTTGCATAGATTACATTTAAGGCCTCCTGTGCCTTTCTGCTTCCTGTTGGGAAAGACATGGCAGAAGATCAAAGTTGACAAGAGAGTGAGATCAGGTTATTTCTTTCTCTTCTTCTTTCCAGAGAGAAGCTAACCATGGTCAATTCTGTAGGAATCTTATTCCTTCCATATTTCAATAATTACTTGCTCCCCTTATCATCCTAGTCCTGGGTATGTGTCACATCTGCTGCATGGACACTTCTTGTTCCCAACACCTTACCCGTCCGTACCTTTGGAATGAGTCCTAATTTGAGTATGTCGTATCTCTTTTCTCTTGAACCCTGGCTGGTAGATGCAATGCCCAGTTTCTGTGATTTTATGTGAATTTTATTTTATCCTTTAGCTTTGTTTGCTAAGCTACTTATTATTCTTCAAATGTATCCTGTGATTTTCCAGTCTTCCTTGAGAAATGCCTTTATTTTTGAAACCTCCTTGTCACTTTAGTATTGATGCTTACCCAGTTTCACAATCTGGGGCATTTTGAGGGATTTGGGTAAGGCAAGCACATTGACTTAGTAGGATAAGCACTGGACCGCAAACCTCAAGGTCAGTGGTTTGAGCCCAGCAGTCACTCAGAGAGAGAAAGATAAGACTTTCTGTTCCCAAAGATTTACAGCCTTAGAAACCCTATACAGGGTCACTATGAGTTGAAAATTAATCTTTAACAACAACAAGGGTTAATTTTTAATGAGGAGAGCATGTGACCTGGCTATAAGTAATCATATAATAATTATTGGAGAAATGTGTGTTAAATAAAATTAAGCAAGTTTATTATTTCATCATATCAAAGTTTTTTGTTGTATTTATTTTTTTGAGCATTTTATTGTGGTTTGGGACAAGCTTTTCATATGCTTTGTATTGTATTTTGCTTGTGTTGTAAATCTCTAAAACAGATGATTTACCGTGCTCAGATTTATATGGCTTATTTGTTACCCCCTGGAATATCTATAGAGACTAGTGTTCCACACGATACTCTTTGAGAAGTGAAGTTTACCTAACTATTTTATATTTTAATGTAAGAACACAGAATATTAGCTCACCATCAGTTTTATGCTATGAATGAAAAGCACAAAGCCATAAACAGACTTCAGCCTGGCCATAAATTTATATGAGCCAAAAAGAAAAGTTTTCCTACAGCAAAATGGAGTATCTCCATATATGACTCACTGAAGTGGAAACTGTTAAGAGAGCCCTCCCATGGCAGAAATAAGTGTGTATGTGAGTTCTTTGATAAGTGACTTAAAAGAAAAGTTTTGTCAGTATACTATCTCATGTGCCTCCTCAGCTGTACACAGATGACCTCGAAACCACAGCAGCAGATTCTGAGACTAAAGATCAGCGCGTGATGTTCACTTTGGTTAGTTTGAGCAGTGAATACTATTATACTTTTGGTAACTTTCAGATTTTGTTTCTCTTGAGATTATGAATCACATCTAGACCACATTTATATACATATCATAATAAGTACTTAAAATTAATAAATTATGAAAAATCTCTAGGTGTTACGATGGATACAGGTTATATCCAATCTTTATTCACTTCTTAGTATATGGCAAAAATCAGGTTCACTGAAGCTAACCTGTTAATTAGTTTCTGTGTTTTGTTTTAGGGAGACTTCTGGTAACAAATTTAAGAATTATCTGGCACTCTTTGGCATTACCCAGAGTCAATCTTTGTAAGTATCTTTGTTAGATAACTATAAAGAAAAAGAAAAATCCTTTGTCAAGTGAACCATTATACTTGTACAGATACTGAAAAAAATATACCGTAATTCTTAAGCTGATAAAAACTTCAAAATTCTTAAAGTGACTAAAGTCTTATTTATAATATAAATACAGTATATTGCTTTTCAGTCATTCATTTTCTCTCTGCATAACATTAGGGCTTTTATGTTAAATAAGTTTTGTGTGTTTTTTTCTTGTGATTTTTCTTCTGTTCTATTTTGGTTCTCTGTTTATTTTTGACAATTTGCTGTGACCTGTTTCTAGTGCAGGCAGCCCTCGCCTTAAACAGGTTTCTGTTCTAGCGCCTCTGTCTTAAGTTGGTTCTGATGTAAGTTGAATACCTCATTTCAGATTAACAACTGATGCTTTTTACAGCATGAAACACTGAATTAAGATCGCACTAATAGGACTGATCTACAGTGAATTCAGTGTCCATGATGAAATCAGTGTCTAACAATGAAGTCAGAAGTCATATTGACTGTCAGGCTCATGTGTAGTTCAATTGTAATATGTTGTTATAATTGAACTTTATCCAGTTTTCTGTGCGTTACAACTCTCAACACTGGTTTCATTGTAGACCAGGCTTTAGCCTGATGTACTGCAGCTAAATCATAAAACTGAACATCTGTGAACGAACATCTGAAAATAATAACATAAGCAAATTACGCATTTCAGCATTGTATGTAGTAGTGTACTACATCATATACTACCAATATGAGTATAGTAATACATTGTATGTACTATCAGTAGTGGTCATAAGTGTGGTTCATCATTCTCCAGGTATATGGTAAGCCGGGAATTACCTGTCATCCCAAAGAAGGAGATCTAAATCTGATCAAATTAATTTTATTAAATGAAGTTTCACTGATTTTTTTTTTTTTTTTTTTGTATTTTAGATTACTCAGACTCTTTCTTTGGACCCAGTGGTGCTTAGATTTCAGTCGGCGCTGTATGGGTCTTACAGGAACAAACTTATTACCCATATTATAAATGTTTTTGTTTGTTCAAGGAGGCAGATTTGACTCGATAGTGCTTTTAATTATTTAACAAATTTGAAATTCTTTCATAAACTTTTTTTTAAGTTCTTATATATATTTAGTCTTTAAAAATTAAAAAATTCTATACATATGAGTTTTATAAAACAAATTTTATCAATTTACTCTATCGTGTTCTTTAAATTCTTTGCTTTTGAATTTTAGCTGTTGGTTACAACTGCATATTGAATATTACAACAAGGACTGCTAACTCTGTAAGTCTGAAAAATCATATTAAAACATATATGAATAGATGTTTTGAGGTTAACATTCATGTTTTCACTGTAAGTGAGAAGTGCATCTAAAAATCTTGTAAATAAATTTGTCCTTACAGAAATTACGAGGTCAAACTGAAGCTCTTTATATACTAACAAAATGTAACAATACTCGTTTTGAATTTATATTTACAAATGTGGTTCCTGGAAGTCCTAGACTTTTTACTTCTGTGATTGCAGTGCACAGGTATAGTAATATTTTATGCATTATTGGGTATTTTTAAAGCAATTATATGATTCCATGTGGTGCTATAAGATAAGTACTGGACTGCTAGCCACAAGGTTGGTAGTTCAAACCCACCCGTCACTCCTTGGAAACCCCCTACAGGGTCGCTGTAAGTTGGAACCGATTTGAAGACACTTACCAACAACAGTGATTAAAAGGTTTAGAAGTGTGATGCTGTCATTCTCTCAGCTCTGTTCTGAAATATCCTGAAGGCTGCTTTAGAAGGAATGCATTTCATTATCATTTGATAAAACACTTTGAGACACCTGAAAATTTATAAAAATTTCTAATGAAGATCCTATTAAATTAGCTATCAGAGTAGGTAGAGTGAAATGGAGAATTTATTCAAGGTAGATAAACAAGTTGGATAATTCATTCATTTAAAAGGTTATTTATTTAAAAAAGAAAAGGTTATTTATTTAGCAGTATGGCACTGTAGGAGTCCTGGTGTGGCTCTATGGGTTAATGCGCCAGACTGCAAAACTGTATGAACTGCCAAGATTGGTGGTTCAAGCTCACAAGCTACTCCTCGGAAACCCTATACAGGTCACTGTGGGTTGGAATTGAGTCGATGGCACTTAACAACAACAACAACAACATGGCACTGTAGGATCAGCACTGAACTGCAAACCACGAGGTCAGCAGTTCAAACCCATCAGCTACTTCTTGGAAACGCTGTACAGGGTCACTATAAGTTGGAACTGAGCAACACAGCAGAAATCCTGTATGGGTTTTTTCCTTAAAAAGTTTTCTTTTGGTTTTGTTTGCTACATTCTTTCCCCACCCCCACCCCCGCCCACCCACTAACTTAGTGCTTTCTTTCTCTCTCTCTCTGTCTCTATCTCCTTTTTTAAAATCATCCCCTAAGTATTATGGTTTTTTTAAAGCTTGAGTAAAATTGTACACTTGGCCAAACAAAGTGTACAGTTTGGTGGTTTTTCATTTAATTCCAGAACATCTCCAACACTCTGAAAGAAACCCCATACTGGTTAGCAGTCATTACCTGTTTCCCCTGCCACAGCCATTGGCTACCACTAATTTGCTTTCTGTTGTTATAGATTTGTCTCGTCTGGACAGTTCACATAAGATGAGTCATACTATATGTGACCTTTTGTCTATGGCTCCCCTCAGTTAGCCTAATGTTTTCAGTGCTCATTTATGTTACAACATAATTTATGTATCAATACTTCCTTTCTGTTTATGACTGAGTAATAGTCCATTGTTTGAATATACCAAATATCATTTATGTTTCGGTCAGTTAATGAACATTTGTGGGGGTTTTCCTGCTTTTGGGTTGTTGTGAATAGTGTTGCTTTGAATATACCAGAATATACAGATTTTTATGTGAACGTACGTTTTCAATTTCCTTGAGCATATACCTCAGTCCTTTATTTCATGTTATGTAAAATGAATAATTTTAAAGGGAACATGAAAACGGCTTTAGTTTAGTAATGTGAAAATAGTATAAGTAGTTCACAGTGACATAATTTATAAAAATTAAAATGACTAAAACTAAGAAAACCCTTTTATTAATCTTATTAAATGCTGTTTTCATTGTGGAGTAAAATTGTTGTTGTTAGGTGCTGTTAGTCTATTTTGACTCATAGTGACACTGTGTGACATTGTAGAACTGCCCCATAGGGTTTTCTAGGCTATGATTTTTATGGGAGCAAATCATCTGATCTTTTCCTCACAGTTGCTAGGTGGGTTTGAACGGCCAACCTTGTGCTTAGTAATCATGCACTTAACCGTTCCTTTACCAGGTTCCTTGGAGTAAAATTAGAATTAACTTATCAAAGTGTGTCACTTTGGGGTAAGCACTGGATTGCTAACCAAAAGGTTGTTGGGTCACACCCACCAACTGCTCCTTGGAAACCCTACACAATGTTGCTATGAGTCAGAACCGACTTGACAGCACTTAACAACAACAATATTCAAAAGCTAATCAGATTGTTTTTGCTGTATTTAGTCTTCATTAGAAGAGAAACCGGAAGAAAACAAAGTCAGGGAGATTTCCCACACACACATACATCCACACACTAATGGGTTGCTTTTTGGAGTTGGTAGAGATTTGTTGTAATTTTCTCTGTAGAGAAAGAAGTGAGTCTAGTATATTCAAGCTGCAGTGAGAAAAGTAATTGTACTGTTTACTGTCAAAAGAATCATGGTACCATTACTTAAAACAGGTTGAAAAAAAAAAAAAAGTACAGCATTTTAATGGGGGGGAACAACTTCCAGGTAGGTCTATTATGTGCAATCATTGTTTTGTTTAGAGAAGTCTGTTTGTTTCCTATCACTTCTGCTGTGTGATGCATATTGCCTTAGAAGTTAGCCATCTAAAAAAATGGATTATGGAATCAAATCTAAAAAAATGGATTATGGAGATGTAACAAACAAATAATGAAATACAAAAAACTCTAATCACCAGACTCCGCTGAAAAGAAAATTTTAAAAAATTTACCAGAGTAATTATTTATGTGATGTACATAGTACATAGATACTTGAGTCCTGGTGTGGAGCTGTGGGTTAATGCACCAGACTGCAAAGCCGTTTGAACTGCAAGGTCGGCAGTTCAAGCTCACCAGCTTCTCTTCAGAAACCCTATACAGGGTTGCTGTGGGTCAGAATCGACTTAACAACAACAACAACATAGATACTAACAACTTTATTTTAATAGTTAAGTAAACATAATCCAAGGAAAAAACCATTTTCAGTTTGGGATGACTTTTTGCTCATTCTTTTTTATAGAGCATATGAAACATCTAAAATGTATCGTGATTTTAAGTTGAGAAGTGCACTCATTCACAATAAGCAACTAAGATTATTACCACAAGAACATGTATATGATAAAATCAATGGAGTATGGAATTTATCCAGTGATCAGGTATTGTGCAAAAATACTAATAAATCTTTTGGTTTTTATATTCATTCAAGTCTAATTATTAAATTAACATTATAGCTTTTGACATGAAATGTTATTCTGACTTTCCTGTTTTTATGGCACTGGTCTCTTTCAAACAACTTGAGGTCTGCATGGAATTTGGAGCTGAAAAGGGCCTTAGAGCTCATCTAGTTCAGTCTTCCTTCGTTTATAGAGGACAAACTCAGGCCCAAAAGAGTTATGTGACCTCACATATGGAAGTTTGTCCCAGAGTCGTGCTCTTCCACACTTTCCACCACATCTTGATTCCTTATGCCAATAGCGGAGAGCCGTGGTGTGGACAATCTCAGAAACCTTTTAATCTGGTCTTTTTTTTTTTTTTTTTCACAGTATTTTTTATTGTAGGAATATAAGTCAGGTACACAATTTAGTGATATCAATTACATTAGTTATGTTGTGCACCCACCACTCAGAACAGTTGTTAATCTTGTCTTTGGGGAACTAACCATATAATTGATTTGCTGTCACTTAAATTGGAACCTATTCAACGGCACTTAACAACCAAAACAAATCCATTATTGTAGCGCCATTTGTGTGTTTGTAAATGTATTATGTTTTTACATATTTATTTGTATGTTGTTACATGTCATTGAGTTGGTTCCGACTCATAGCAACTCTATATGTATGAGTCAGAACCACCTCAATGACACTTAACAGTAACAACATATAAATATGTAATATACACACACAAATGAAGAATTACAATAATGGATTTAAGCAACAACAAATCAATTATATTTTGGTTCTTTAAAGACAAGATTAACAACTATTTTGAATGGTGGTTACACAACATAGCTAATGTAATTGATACCTGGTATGGTGCTGTAGGATAAGCACTTGACCTCAAGGTCAGCGGTTCAAACTCACCAGCTGCTCCTTGTTGCTATAACGGTTGCTGAGTCGGAACCGACTCAGCACTTAACAACAGTATGGTTTCTGAGGCTGTAAATCTTTGCAGTAGCAGAAAGCCTCATCTTTCTCCTGTGGAGCTGCAGATATGCTAGAATCATTAACCTGTGGTTAGCAGTCCAGTGCTTAGCCTAAAAAGCCACCGACTCCCATTTATTTACTTAAGCAACTAATATTTGAAATAAGTAACATCATTTTCTAGAGAAAGGTGTATTTTACTAATAATGTTCGGCTTTCTTGTGTATTACAACTTAGATTAATAACCTCTATGTTTAATCTTTAACATTTGATTGAAGAGTTTATTGCTAGTTAAATTTCATAAACATAATGATTCGATTCTAAAGATTTGTTAGCCTTTGCTCATTTGAGACTTCTTTTTTTTTTTAAGTGTTTATTTTTGAGTTGAGTGAAAGTTTTATATTCAACAAATCATACACCTTGTTTCATTACAATGATTATAATCCCCTCCATGTACCATGAGTTAACAGTATTTCTCTCTATTCACATGAGGGTTTTTTTCAAAACATTATATATTCAAAATATATAATAATTTACACCACCAAAGGGCATATTCTGCAAGTCTGCCTTCTGGGTGCCAGCTCTCAGTCCCTCTCTTCCCATGAATCTCGAGCCCTCGGCTACTCCCTATCTCCGTGTCCCCATCTCTGCCTCCATCTCTGGTATCACTGTTTCTCTAGATAAGGTTTCACATTCCACTTGTGCTCTTCTCCCTTGATAGTCCTAGGGTCCTTTGTTGACTGTAAGATTAACCACTCCCCCATTTTTTATGCAAAGCTTCTACCTTTACAATTGTGACAGTCACAATTAGTCATGATAACAATTACTCACTGTTGAATCATAAGAATCTTATCCCCATCTCTTTTTACCAGACCCATCTAGACAAGATGAAAACTGTTTAGTGGGCACACTATCTTCCCCCATTGAGAAGTTCTTTTAAATTGATTAGAGTTCTATACAATAAAGAACCCTCCCCATTTGAATAATGGCTTCTCAACCTTTAGGTCAGGGATTAGAAAACTGTTTCTGTAAAGGGCCAGATCCAGCCATACACAATATTAAAAGACTAAGCATGACTGTGTTCCAATTAAAACTTTATTTGTGGACACTGAAATTTGAATGTCATATAATCTTTACTCTGCCACTATATATAGATGTTGGTTGGTTTTTTTTCTTAAACTCTTTCAACTATTTAAAAATGTAAAAATCATTCTTTGCTTTCTGGCCATACCAAAAACAGACTTCAGAACCAATTTGGCCCATAACCCATAGTTTGCTAACCTGTTTTGGGTCATAGCTTCAATGTCACTTTCTAGAAACTTCTGTCTGTGTGCTGCATATGCAGCCCTCTGATTTACGACTGTTCTAGCACAGAGAACTTATCTGTATACCCACATTCGATTGTAGGCTTTAGAAGAATAGAGGGGACTTACTCTGCTCACTGCCATTTTAAAATTAATTCATTAATTAGATGTCTGGGATTACTAGCTATATCATTTTTTTGAATATTGGGAATATTATTGTCAATGTAATTTGTGTTTAATGAAAAATAATAAAGCTAATTAAATGTGCTCACCTACCATTTTAATTTAGGAGTTTTGTAAATTCTTTTTCTCCTAAATAAGAGGAAATAATAACATGAATTATTCCTTACTAAGTTTTTCTTAAGGAGTCATGGTGGTGCTGTGGATTAGGCATTGGCCTACTAACCACAAGATCAACAGTTCAAACCCAACAGCTACTCCATCAGAGAAACAGGAGGCTGTCTGCCCCCAGAGAGATTTAGATTCTCGGAAACCCTTACTAAACTATTAATGAGACTTGAGACGGGAAAAACGGGGGACTACTTTTTTTTTTTTTTTTCATAATTCTTTGCAAGTAGAGAGTGGAGGGAGAAAATATGTATGTGTGTCCAAAGGGTTTATAAAAAGTTTATGGGAAAATTCCATTATCTTTTGATTCCGTTTTTCCATAGACCGTTTGAAGCCCTCTCATATGTTGAGTGTGTTTGTATGCCTAAATGTGTGATATGTGTGTGTGTGTGTGTGTGTGTGTGTAATTGGTTGGCAAATGGACTTTTCTGATGTTTCAAATATGATCATCCCAAAAAAGGACTCTTTAGGTTCTGGGTAAAATTGTGAGTTAATGGCTTAAATCTCAAAGTATAAAAAAGAAAATAACTATGTATGAATACTAATGTGGCACTGTGTGTTAATGCGCTGGATTGCAAAATTGGCTTGAACCACAGGTTAGTAGTGCAAACTCACCAGCAGCTACTCGGAAACCATGTACAGGATTGCTAAATCAGAACTGACTTGACAGCATATAACAACAACAATAATGTGTAAGGAGTGGTTTGAGAATGGAAGTTTAAATGGTAGAGGCAGGTAATTTTGGTACCATAGAATTAGACCTCAGACCCTTAGCTATCATACTGGGATGCTTTTGACTAGATATTGAAGGGTTATGTATAACTGAAGACAGTTTTGATCTAGAATATTGATGAAGAGCCATTAGATACCTCTTGTCGACTGCTGGGGTATCACATGTGTTTTATCTCTCTTTAACTTCAATTTCTTTGCCTTGAATTATCCCAAATTTTGAATCATAATCATGATAAGCTCTAACTAGTAATGCTTATTATGTGCCAGGCATTGTACTAAGGGCTTTAGTCACATAAGTTATTTGTTTAAATCTCCAGCTTATATTTGCAGAATGACCAAGAAGAAATTTGCCCCGGGTCAGAGAACTACTCATGTACTGATGGTGTGATGATTAGGAGTCTGACTCTAGAATTTATGTTCTCAGTCATCTAACTTAGTTCCAGCCAGTGAATGATTAAGTCACTGATATTCTATGATGCACAATTCTGGTAGTATCTCCTACTGTGATAATCAGAATAAACAAGTGTATAGAAAATAAAGAATAAATATCCAAACAAATGATCATTGATGTATTTCTCATTATTCTTTTTAACAGGGAAATTTGGGGACCTTTTTTATTACCAATGTAAGAATTGTGTGGCATGCAAATATGAATGACAGTTTTAATGTCAGCATACCGTATTTGCAAATTGTAAGTACATGCAGTTTGGTGACCTTATTTTAACAGAATAAATCATTTATTTGTGTTCAGCAATTAACAAGACTTGAGATTCAGTAAGTTCACTCTTTCTCTTTTGAAATGGCAGCTGTTATAGCTGAGAGCATTCTTTGCTATGTCAACAAAGACAAGACCCAAATGCATTGATATTCAAGGGAAATAACACCATTATCATTTTGAGATTAATATAAAATATGTTGGATTCTTAAAGTTAAAATAGTTGGAGTCCATTCAAAGGACTTTAATTAGGCAAGTAAACAATATTAATAACCTGGGCATGGTTTTAACACACTTCCACAAAATTTGTCTTGGCTCTCTTGCCACTTTCTGCTCTAAAACCTTTTAAAGTCAGAATTTATTAATTTTGTAAATGAGTTAATTCCATTGTATTTAAATATAGCTTGTAATACACGCTGAATACATACTACAAGCTCACTGAAAAGGAATCAAGATGTTTTTAAGCGATAATATTATTATCATAAATTTAATTAAAGCTAATAAAATCCTGAATAAGAACCAAAACCAATTTGTTTTGGGAATAGGAAAGATTGATCTTTTTACTCTGTTACTACTATGAGTTGTGAGTCAGTGAAATAGAAAACCCCAGTAAACTGAACAATTTCATTTTACGTAAAGCTATTTATAGGACTACTCAGCAGCTGCTTCTTGGAAACCCTATAAAGGGTCACTATGAGTTGGAACAGACTCAACAGCACTTACCAACAACAAACAAGTTCAAATTAGATGGAACATAAAAGCGATTAATGAAAATACTATGAGATTATCCTATGATAATTACCATTTTTGTAGGAAATAAGTAAGTTTAAGACTAAGCAGTCTTATCAATAAATAATTATTAAGTAGATTTAGTGTATACATTATCTAGAAAATGCCTTTTTTTTCTTTAAGAAAATTCTTGAGGATTATTCATGAACTAGAGCATACACACATGTTGACATGGGTGACAGGGCAGGTAATATACAAGAAGGAGGTTAGCAGAAGAAAGATGAAGGTAGCAGGAAACACAGGGAGGAATGCATTAGTTAAAGTGAACAGAGGTATATGCTGTTAACTGTTGGTAAATGGAGGAAACTGCAGCCAAGTAATGAAGCAAAGTATATGATTTGTTGAATAAAAACTGATGATCTGCTCTATAAACCTTCACTCAATTCATACACACACAAAAAATATTGTAAAGGAAAATTCTTGATCTTTGAAAAGGATAATTTTTGCACAATATTCTCAAGTCTGTCTTATGCTAAATTGTTTGATTTCTGAGTAACTTTTAAAAATATCATTTGTTCATGAATTTGCCAAATATTGAACAATTCCCAAAACTGTTCAAGGTGCTAGAGATACATTCATAAAAATCATCAACCAGTACACAGTATCTACCATCAGAGAGTTTTCTGGTCTGGTGGGGAAAAGTAACACATTAAGTAGAAAATTATTGACTTTGACAGGAAGAAAATTATTTCTGCATCTAAAAAATGTCCAAAATATATAAGAACTTATAATCAGGACTGAAAAAGTGTAACAAGCAGAGTTTGCATTGATTGATAAAATTGGTCCATGTATTTTTCATTACATTTATCTATATTTTAACTTGCCTAACCTAACTTTTATAATGAATAATTACTGAGTAGTAACAACAACAAACAACCCTGTGCTTTCTGTTCTTTAAATAGGTTTTCTTTTGTTATTTAAGAATTATTTTTGTTAGGTGCCATCAAGTCACTTCTGACTCATAGATAACCTATATGCAACTGAACAAAAACACCGCCCGGTCCTACCCCATCACCACAACCACTGCTGTGTTTGAACCCATTGTCACTGCTACTATGTCAGTCCATCGCGTGAGAGTCTTCTTTTTCACTGACCCCTCTACTTTACGTAGCATGATTTCACCAGAGACTAGTCCCACCTGATAACATGTCCAAAGTTCGTGAGACGAAATCTCGCCCTCCTTGCTTCTAAGGAGCATTCTGGCTAAATATGGCCTCTGGAATGAATTCAACGAAGCCCAAACAACTTGCAATCTGATACCATCACAGTCTGTCACTGCTGTAGTCATGGTCTAACTTCAGCTTCGAGTCTCAGACATTGCTCTGGCCCCGCCCACATAGATATATACCAGCTTCTTCTGTTTTCTGTCTCTGTCACCCATAATCACCTGGGTAGATTACCTTTTGACAGCCCGGCTGCCAGTGTTATGTGATTCTTAACTGGCTGTGTGTGTACTAGTCAGGTGTGAAGAAATCTAGATGGAAAGCCAGTTACCAGTAAAGCCTTGGTCTCTCTTTTTTCTCTCTCTCACTCTGTCAATTTCTGACGTCCATGTCTCGAAGTGTAATTTGCCATCACCTGTCACAGATTACTCTTTTCTGAGCTTTTCCCATAATTGTAGACCACCCCTTAAACTACCATCAATTACATTTTTGTCACTTAGTATAGTGCTGATGTGGTGCTGCAGGATAATGCACTCGACAGCACTCAACAGCAACAGCACTAACTGTAGTTCTGCCTGCCTTCCTCCTCTCTGGCCCCTGGTGTCACTGTCCAAGCTAAGCCTTCATGTCACACAGACCTTTTGATGTTAATTACATGTGATCTATCCCAGCCTTACCTGATATCCTATGTAAATTTGAGAAGTCAGAAAGCATTTGTGCATATTACCTTATGTTATATCATTATTGTAGCAGAAAAATGAAATACATTGCTTGCTTACAGTTTTTAACAATGAATAAAATGGGTATTTTTGTTTTGTGTTTTAGGAATATTGCTATAAATTTTATCTTTAAAATTAGCCAAAAATGATTAATAACTGAATGCTCATAAACTTAAAAAAAAAGACTGTAAATTGCTTAAGAATTTAGCCACCTATGATGTGAGGCATGAAAGATGTGACTCTTCAGTTAGCCCAGCCTTGAGAGCCACAGACATTGACTAAGTAAAAGATTCTGGCCTTCTATTTAAAAAAAAGATTCAAGTTAAGTTGTTGACTCTCTAGAAGGGGGAGAGATATTTGAATCAGAGGAATTTGTGCATATTTCAGAGATGTCTTTTTATTGCTTTACAATGTACCACCTAGTTTCAGTATAAGTCTGTGTTCAGTTGTTTCTCTGGTAGAGGAAAGAAGGGAGAAGGAAGAAATCTGTCCTTTTAAATGTACTTTCAAATAGTTACTGTGTGAAAGTGTACACACTTGTAGTAAAAGCGTTACGATTACCTGATCATAAAAGCATGCCTTTTTTTTTCTCTTTCATTTTGCATCTAGCGTTCAATAAAGATTAGAGATTCAAAATTTGGTTTAGCTCTTGTCATAGAAAGCTCCCAGCAGGTAAGATATTCTACATTTTTATTTGTCTGTGACATTTAAAACTGTGTGGCAGTCTAGATTTTTAGTTTTATTTACATAATAACCAGGCTAAAACCAAGAATAATATTAGTTATAATATGAAATTCTGTGGAGGGTTTGAAGTCTTGTAGTAATTGTCCACATATGAAGAATTTATTTTTTGTTGGACAGATGCTGTCATTATGATCAAAATTTTTATTATTAACGGCAGTATTAAATCACTAAGTAGCCCTAGTGCTGCAGTATTTAAAGTGCTCAACTGGTAACCAAAAGGTCCCTGGTTTGAACCTGCTAGCTGCCCTGTGGGAGAAAGATGTAGCGGTTTGCTTCCTGAAAGATTTACAGCCTGGGAAACACAATGGGGCAGTTCTAGTTTGTCTTCTAGGGTCACTACAACTTGATGGCACTGGATTTGGGTATTAATTCACTGTGCTAAGTAATGGTATGCATTGTCTTAATCTGTATCTAACTCTGTGATACATTTACTGTTTTCCCTATTTTACACTGAGGCTAGGAACCTTGCCTGTGATCTCACAGCTAGAAAGTGGTAGGGCTACGTGCTGGTCCCAGGGCTGAGTCATTCCCAAGACTGCTTGAGAAACACAGACAGATACAGACATAAACACATACCCTTGATTGAGATTTTATCCTCCTACACATAGATAATTATCTTTTCTTTTTTGTAAAAATACATTTAAATACAACATTCATTTTATTAAATACTTTTCATCTACATTTAAACATGAATAGCTGTTTCTTTTCTGACCTGTAGATTTGTAGCTGCCATTTATTTAGTATTTCCTATGTTCCAGAAAATAAATCAAGTATCCTACATATGCTATTTAATTCAACTTAATGACCATTTTATGATTAGAAATTTGAGGCTTTAAAACATTAAGGAAAGTACATTTTCCAGCATCACAGTAAATTGTAGAGCCAGATTTTGAACTCAAAAACATCTGCTCTTAACCCAAAGCATATGCTCTTCCAGTATGTTCCTTCAATTTTTTTCTACCTATAGCTGAAGATGGAGCCCTTAATGTGGCAGTGGTGGTAAAAACACTGGACTGCTAACCACAAGGTCGGTGGTTAAAACCCATCAGCTGCTCTTAGAAACCCTGTACAGCGTCTCTATGAGTCGGCATCGACTTGAGAGCACTTAATAACAGCAGCTTATGTAGAGAGAAAATATTCTTGTCTTCTCCAGCAGTGAATTATAGTTAAGTTCTTTCTAATTCTCCAAGGAGATAGTCTAAGGCTATTGCCTAGCTCCTTATAATGTATGGTAGATTCCTTTTTATCAAACTCTATCTCAAAAAAAATTTTAGCTCACTTGGTCTTCACAACATATAGTGGTGTTTTTTTTAATCTTAAAAGATCAGCTTTGATATGTACACATGATATGATCTGATATCTGGATATGTTTCAAAATAATGTGTGTTTGGGGTAGGGGTAGATTACAGGTGAAATAGAGTTGGCCAAGTGTCCTTACTTGTCGAGGCTGGATGATGGCTTATGGAGGTTAATTATATTCTTCTGTTTTTGTCTATGTTTGCCATTTTTCATAATAAAAAGTTTTTAAAAACCAACTTTAAATATTGTTCTAAATAAGGAAAATTAGAGCTATAGTTTATTATATACCAAATAATACCATTATTTAGGCTTGTTTGTTGTTTTTTCATTATTTTTTTCATGCAGAGTGGAGGATATGTTCTTGGCTTTAAAATAGATCCTGTTGAAAAGCTACAAGAATCAGTTAAGGAAATCAATTCACTTCACAAAGTCTATTCCGCCAGTCCTATATTTGGGGTGGATTATGAGATGGAAGAAAAGGTAGTTTGTTCAGTATGTGACATACATAGAGTTTGCTGAATTGCTTTTACACAGATGTTTCAAATTCTGATTTAAATACATTATGTACAATTTAATTGTAAACTGTTTTCATTAAAATGAATTCAGGCTCTACTCAGTAAGTCTGGCCGCCACACCATCACTGATTTGTATCTGCCACTTGTCTCCTAACTAGTTGCTTCATCATTCATTCCCTGCTCTCTCTACCTATCCATCTAGATTAGCAGCCTATCCATATACGATTCCTAATTTTATTACTAAAGTGTGTTATGATGTAAGAATATAAACTGTGCAATGATTTTTATAAGACTTGAGTTATTGTAGGGAAATAAAATTGTCAAAGTATATTTGACTAATGTGGTTTCATTAATATTGTATCTTTGATGCATTTTTTTCATGTACTAATCTTCAGCCACAGCCCCTTGAAGCTCTGACAGTCGAACAAATCCAAGATGATGTGGAAATAGATTCCGATGACCATACGGATGCTTTTGTGGTGCGTATTACAAGGGAGGGCTGTTGACTTTTCCCAATGGTTTCCACCTGAGTGGTGTGTCATTGGCTAATAGTCTGCATCTGCAGAACACCGTACAGCTGGAGGCTTTGGAGAATCTCTTACAAAAGAATTCTAGAGCTTTGTTTTGTTTTGTTTTTCCTAAGTGAGGAAATTTTTTTTGTAAGATTGCTTTTAATTTACCAATCTCAGAAGTCGTTTAAGAACAGTGACTCAGGATTTCAAGTACATATGAAAAGTGTTTTCAAACGTTAGAATAATCAAGTGTTAAGAATTATATTTAAAATCTACACTTTCCAGAGTAAATCTTCAATTTATAGGTCATTTTTAAAGAAGGACATGCCTTTGAGAGTATACTTTTCTTTTTCCAAATTGGTGTTATTTAATTAATAGCCAAAATAATAATAATAGTAAATGTTTTCTCCATATTGTGGTCATGAATATAACCAGAATACCTCTCTGGGAACAAATCATTTGAAACAAAAGTATGAAATGTTTAATTGTAAACTATTTCTACTTCCGGCTATATGCATTTATTGATCCATCAGAGCACTGACTGATTATTTGGGGGCGTTTTGTTTGTTTTGCCAGAATCTTCTCTAAACCAAAAGTTCGGAAGGCATTTTATAGTTTCTAAGTCATTTCTTTTTTTTTTATCTCCTTTCAAGTTAACAGTGCCAGTTTTACACTGATTACAAAGCACATTGTTAGAACTTTAAACTTACTCTTGTAGACATTATTGATGGTTGCAAGAAGTTATTTCTGCTGCCAGAATTGGAGAGATAGTGACACATTCATTTACAGAATCATTCTGTAAATTAAGTAGTTGCTCCTTAGCCTACTGATTTATTATAATCTCATATGAGTGCAATATTACATGTGAGTTTTTTCCCTCATAGGCTTATTTTGCCGATGGAAACAAGGTAAGGACATTTCAACTACAGTATATGAAAAAAAATTCTATATTTCAGCATATAGTATTCACAAACTTATGTGAAACCTATTTTGTTTTTTCTTCTTCCTTGCCCCTCTTCTCTATTCCCATCTCATCTTCTTATCTCCCAAAAAGCAACAAGACCGTGAACCCGTATTTTCAGAAGAACTGGGGCTTGCAATAGAAAAATTGAAGGATGGATTCACCCTACAGGGACTTTGGGAAGTAATAAGTTGATCTTGAGTTGAACTGAATTTCTATTTAAAGATATCTCAAGATTAAAGATACTAGTTGCCTGGGTTAAGGCAAGGAATAGTTTTTGTATTTACAGAAAAATAATTAAGGGAAAATTCATTTATCTATGACTTTACTACCAATTTTCTAAAACATTATATTTAAAATTGTAATAGAATTGTATTTAGTCTGTATATAGGTTTACTTTGTAATAATACTTGTAACTGTCAGTGTGCAGATACAAATGACTCTCGTGCCTGGTTTAATAAAGAACTTATATGTAGCACCATTTAATGTTTTCAAAGTATTTTTTAAAAGAATAAGACTGTTCCCATGGAATAATAAAAACGCTGGTTTTCTGTTATGAAAATTTGTTTTAAATATATCTAAATGTGATAAGCAGCTAAATAATTCTAATAAAATTTATGACCCTTAAGCCTATCATCTTTAGGGGGACTTTTTTTGTAAAAAGTAAAGATTATAACATCTCTGAAGTATGATACGAAATTTCAAACAGTTCATGGAGAAATAGAATGAAAAGATAATGTAAACCCCTCATCTGTCAGTCCCTATGTAAAGTTTTGGGGACTACCAGGGGGCTTCAAAAAGTTTGTGGAAAAATTCCATTAGTTTTCAATTCCCTCTCCAATTCCATGAAATTTTTCAAGTCCCCTCATATTGTAAATAATTCTAAAATATACTTATTTTGTAAGGAAGTGGTTTTATTTATTTTCTTATTTGTATTTATTGAAACATCTTTGAACTTTTTCAAAAAATAAAGCATTGCTTTTTTATTTCTTAGTGAAGTTGGTGAGGTCTCTAGCATCATTCAGCCACTGCTTAAATATAAAGCAGCCTCTTTACAAGGAACCTTTGCCATATCATGGAAATTAGCGAAATGAGCCTTCTTTCTCTAGAGGGAAAGGAGTAGGTGTGTGAACACATCTAACGTAAGATGTAACTTCTATGTGCAACCATGGACACATCCATCCCATAGACTACGCAGAGTTTATTAAGAATCATTGTACAGAAACTATAAATTGATTTCTTCATTTAAAGGGAAGATGGTTTTTAGATTTTTAAAGGAAGGAGTTATAAAAAAAAAAAAAAACCTATATGAGAAAAAAAATTGGTAGTTTGAAAAATTTATTCAAGTCAGAAATAAACAATACTTTCAATAATATTAATTAGATATATTTCAAGCAAAAAAAAATATATATGGTTTGCTAACTACAAAGTAATAACCTGAAATATCATCTATCTCAATCATTAATCTTTTCAAATGTGAGGTGTTACGTGTAGAGAGAAATGAGTCATTTATTGTTTAAACAAGGGAGCAGCTGTTAGTTTTTTCTAGTGTGTTAAAACCGTTAGTGGCATCTATAAATGGAAAAAGAGTCAATGAGCTCTTTCAGCTGTTGTTTTAGCAGCTGACAGTACCATTGACTTCACTGTGATGTAAAATAAAAGAAAAAACTGTTACTCATGGAGAGAGACCTGAAAGTTTAAAAATACATAACTCCCTGATCTGGGTACTGTCATTGGAGTTACCCACTAGGTTCTGGGGCTATGGGACTGAATGACACAGACCATAAAAAAATCCCCATCTTCATGAAGCTTTTGTTCTAGTGGACAAGTTTCAGAATCTCAAACTCTGAAATTACAGTATTCCTGCAGTCCTACTGACATCCACAAATGTGACAATATGATTATGTAGCAAAGTATATCATGAAAAATTATGCAGTGTTAACTACATATGTTGAGCCCTGGTGTGGTGCTGCTATAGGATAAGCACTGGACTGCTAATCGCAATGTCGGCAGTTCTAATCCACCTACACAAGATCACTATGAGTCTGAACTGACTCGACAGCACACAACAATAACATCTACATACATCTACATGTGCTCTGATGGCACAGTGTGATCAGTATGGGACCGCTAGCCACAGGTTGGCCGTTGAAACCCACCAGCCTCTCCAAGGAGAAGAATGATGTTGTCTGCTCCTATAAAGACTCTCAGTCTCGAAAATCCATTGCAGGGTCCCTGGGAGTCAGAATCAACTCACTGGCAGTGGGTTTTCGGAGTTTACATCTACTTAAAAAGGAGTCATGGTGGGGCATGGGTTAGGTGCTTGGCTGACAACCAAAAGGTTGGTAGTTCAAAGCCACCAGCTACTCCTCAGGAGACTGATGTAGCAGTCTGCTTCTGTAAAAGATTTACAGCCTTGGAAACTCAATGGGCTGTCATAAATGAAAGATATATTTTTCAAATCATGACTCCTGTATTCCATAATTAATATGGTGTTTCATTATAATCAATAGACTACACTGTGATTCTAGTTATATATTTTTTCTCATAAGGCTTGTTTTCAAAATTATACAGTGATAGAGCACTTTATTCTGATGGTGCGATATTTTGTTGATAGCGTTGTTCTTGGGTTACATCCATTTTATTTTTGTTAAACATTTGTGAAAGATAATTTTCAACACTTCAAACTACAGAATCTCTTTGGTGATCGTTGATATTTGTAAGTATGTGGATTTTTTCCTTCCTCAGTCTCGATTTTTAACTCTCTTCCTGTTTTGAATTCTATTTCTGTCTGTTCCTGGTATAGTACTAGACCGCAAGGTCAGCTTAAAGCACAAGGTCTGCAGTTCAAACCCACCAGCCATTCCTTGGAAACCCTGTACAGGGTCACTATGGGTCGGAACTGACTCGATGGCACATAACAACAACAAAATTATGACTTTTGAGTCTGTTTCTATTTGTTCTGTTTTGTTGTTGATCTTGATTCCTTTTCACCATTAGCCTTTATTTCCCTCTCCTTTTTTGTTTTCTTTTTTTGTTTTTAATTGCCACCTCAAATGCTTTGTAAAGTAAGCCAGGTGTAAATAAGTTGAATAATTTTATAATTTAATTTGATACTTTTTAATTGCAGTTTTTCCACCTAAGAATGAAGATAATTTAGAATATCTTAGAAAATTAATAGTTTCTCTGCACTTACTATTTTCGCTTATGATGTGCTATCTTAAAGGTTACTTAAAACTGTATTTATAGTCTATATATCAAAGTCTTTATAAATGCCCTGCTTTTAGTTTAACTTTTTCTTTTCTTTTCTTTTCTTTGGCTTTAACAAACAGAAATTTATTTTCTCAAAGTTTACGAGGTTAGAAGCCCAAATTCAGGGCACCAGTTCTTAGGGAAGGCTTCCTATCTCTCTGGGCTCTAGGGGAAGGCCTTTGTCTTTCAACATCTGTGGGGCCAGTTTTTCTTTTTCTTTTCCTTTTTTTTTTTAAGTTCTTATTGTGAATTGAGTGAAAGTTTACAGGGCAGATCATCAATTTTACACTCAGCAAATCATAACCTTGTTTCATTACAAGTATTATAATCCCCTCCATTTAAGTGCCCTGCTTTTAAAAGGAAAATATATATCCCACTGTTTTAAGTTGTTGTCACCACTTGTGGGTCAGTTTGCCATACTGTGATGGTTTGTGTGTTGCTGTGAGGCTGGAAGCTGTACCACTGGTAATTTAATTAAATTTGTAGTTATACCCCATATATCAAAAGTTTTTATAAGTGTTCTGTTTTTTAAAAGAAAAATGTATCTCTCACTGTTTTAAGTAGAAAATAGAAATACATATGTAACATTTCTTGGAAAGGGGATCTATCTAGCTTATGAGAATTCAGATCAGCTCACCTCATATTCTTGGCATCGTTAATTTGGAGAGTTAAGTCACTTGCCAGACCAGTGATTGAGGACTGACTCATTTTTATGACTCAGTGTTTGGTTAATTCAAAAAGCATTTTCTTGTGGCAGCCTTTATTAGCATATCTTCTAAAGCTTTATGTATTTTAAAGCTTTCCACTTCACTTAAATGTCTTGTTTCTTATCTGTTCCCTTAGTGATTAAAAGTTCCAGTTGTCCTTTCAATTTATAACAGCTGCAAGAACAACTCTTCTTTCCAAACTAGCTCTCCTAAATTCCCGTTGTTAGAGTTGGTATCTATATTTAGCTGGTGGGATTAAATTGCAAAGGCTTGAAGCTGGGCAAAGCACAGCGATCTGCCTTTTTACAGCTAGACCTGTGTGCTGCGAGGATCTAAGGCCTTCAGTGTCCCCTTCCTTATCCAGGTTACTCACAAAATGGATTCCCAGCGGGAACTCGCAGAGGAACTGCGGCTTTACCAATCCACCCTACTTCAGGATGGTCTGAGAGATCTCCTAGATGAGAAAAAATTCATCGACTGCACCCTAAAAGCAGGTGACAAAAGTCTTCCCTGCCACAGATTGATTTTGTCGGCATGCAGTCCTTACTTTCGGGAGTATTTTTTATCAGAAATTGGTGAGGAGAAGAAGAAGGAGGTGGTACTAGATAATGTGGACCCTGCTATACTTGATTTAATCATCAGATACCTGTACTCCGCCAGCATTGACCTCAACGATGGAAATGTGCAAGATATTTTTGCCTTGGCCAGTCGTTTTCAGATCCCCTCGGTGTTCACAGTCTGTGTTTCATATCTCCAGAAAAGACTTGCTCTTGGTAACTGTTTAGCCATCCTAAGATTAGGACTTCTCTTGGACTGCCCAAGATTAGCCATTTCTGCCCGTGAATTTGTATCTGATCATTTCCTACAGATTTGTAAGGAAGAGGACTTTATGCAACTGTCTCCACAGGAATTAATCTCCGTCATTTCAAATGACAGCCTCAATGTAGAAAAGGAAGAAGTTGTATTTGAGGCCGTGATGAAATGGGTGCGAACAGACAAAGAAAACAAGGTTAAAAACCTTAGTGAAGTGTTTGATTGCATCCGTTTTCGTCTTATGACAGAAAAATACTTTAAAGATCATGTTGAGAAAGATGATATAATCAAAAGCAACCCTGAACTCCAGAAAAAAATCAAAGTTCTAAAAGATGCCTTTGCAGGTAAACTCCCAGAACCTAGTAAAAATGCCGAGAAAACTGGGGCTGGTGAAGTGAATGGTGATGTTGGTGATGAAGATTTACTTCCTGGTTACCTGAATGACATTCCCAGACATGGAATGTTTGTC